GTTATATATATGAACAAGTAAACTTCAGTTTACATGGGAAATTCCTAAATAACAAAAGCTACTAAAAGACCAAAACACAATCTCAAACTGTATTAACAGATGTGTATGTCTGGACTAGATTACTATAGTTCTCAAGTTCATCAATTTTTAAAAATGTGTATTTCCCATATGAATCTTTCCCATTCTTCATCCTTGAAATAGTTATAACAAGAGCCTACAGATATTACTTAAAACTCTAGCTTTAGACTTAGTTATTCAAGTACATCTCAGCACTAAAAAATATTTTACATGATCAGCCTAATTTATTGACATTTGGATCAGTGACAAATATTCCTTGAAAGAAGGTTCAAACCGTATTAAATACAAATCTTTTTTTAATAGAGGAAACTAAGAAAAATTAAGTAACTTGCCCCAAATTACGCAGAAGCTGTGGGACCCCCAGGTCAGTCCCCATTTTCCCACACCATATGGGTTTTCCAGTACTCTATTTCCTTTCTTAAAACTTGCCCTAAGCACTAGAGCTAGATAGAAAGCACTCACAAGCACATCCATCAACACACTATTTTTCTAGGGACAAATTAGCTTATCAAGAACAAATAACCATAGCACATTTGCCTATAAAATATTTTGACATAGTGTGATCACTTGCAAATTTGATAACCAATGTTTGTTACAAAAGAAATACTCTACAAAAGGATTTTATTCTTAAATATGTGATTATTTATCAAAGCATTATCATATCCCACTTATTATTAGAAAAATAAAAGTTATTTCATGGATGGAAGTGATTTTAATATAACTACATGTCACTGTTAACTGTTCTCAAAACCCCTCCCCCCCTCGCGTAAGAGACTATGTGAAAATCATTAAAAGGGTTTAGGGCTTCAAACTTAGCACGCCAAAGCCTTTATTTGTAGCATAACCTCTTGCTCCATCACTACCCCCAAAACAATGCCCCTTTAAAAACTCAAAGGTACAAAGATTCTAAGCAGGCTCTAATGTCCTGAAGTCCACCCTTCCACCCGCTTCACCCTGAATTTACAGAAGCCCAGTGGAGGACTATGAATTGACAAAGGCCAAGTTATTAAGGACTCGCTTATGATCACCAGCATCTGCCAGGGTAGATCCAGGAAAACCCACCCACTCCCAAAAGATGCCCGGATGCCTCTCCTTGCTCCAGGGCCTTGAATCCTTGGGCTCCTCTGGGACTCCTTTAGAAAGGAAAAGGGAACTTAACTACCCAGTACCCTCCTCCCCAGTGTCATCCATTAAAGCCCAGCAAGCTCTTTGTTTCCAATAGCTTCCGCAGGGCAAGCAGCCTTGGCGAGAGGGGAAAGGTCATTCCCTTGCTCCCCTTGCTGCCAATCTCCAGGCTGTCCAGCAAAACACACACACACACACACACACACACACACACACACACAATCGCACACACAGGCACAGCATCATTCCCTCCAAATCACCTCAATAATCCAGGGTTACACCTTGCTACACAGGGGCACTCTTAGAGATTTAATTACCTCATTGTACTCAAAACCTACCCAAGATGACTTCCTAGACCCCTCCCTCTGACAAACGGGGTTCACTCCAGGACTTGGATTCTTTCTCCTCAATGCATATCCCAGGATGGCCACCTGAGTCCCAGACTTCATCCATACACAACACACAAAACCACTGGGTCACTTCCTGTTCCCCCGCCTGTACCTGGGGATACTCCAAGCCTCCATCTCACCTCTGAACCCACAGGGGACACACTTTACTACATCACCAACTGGCGTCCTCAGGACCCCTCTGAGACGGCGTCCTAAGACTCTGATCAGCACAGGGTCATTGCTCTGCTCTCAGGCTGTGCACCCCAGCCACTAACCCTAACCCACCCACAGCTCTACACA